TTCGCAGCGATAGGATCCATACTCCTGCGGTTCAGGGCTTGCATCTTTTCTACCGTCTCGACTGCGAGGCTCAGTGCTTTCGAGTATGTCGCCGGGGATGTATGGAGGTAGTGCAGGATGAGAAGGCGCAGGTAAATTTCACCTTCTGGCACAGGTACCGAAAGCGCAGGCGTCGACGCTTTCGCCGGCGGCGCAGACGACTCTACCTCCATAGATTGTTCTGCGCTCGATCCTTCTGGAAGCCAAGATAGCAAAGTCTTCTTTTCGGGCACATCTGAAGAGGTTGAACTTGAGAGGGCGGCATAAAGCAAGATTGAAAGGACACTCACCCTTCGTGTAGACCTGCTCGATAGCAGTCCTTAGAACAGTAGCATCTATGCGTTTCCGGAGAGAAGTCAATGTGCGCAGGACACGGTGAGTGAAGCGCGGCTCGAGTGTCGAGACGGCCCGTTCGATGAGAGCAATGTTGGACTTGATTTCAGCAACAGGCGACAGCGGCGCCGGCTTTGCAGGCTCCTCTGTCATTGTTTCATCCTTCTTCTGGTCCTTTCCCTTCGTGTCCGCTGCTTTCATTTCGACGTCGGCCATGGTGAGTGTGTGGATAAGGAGAAGGCAAGATTTCTGATATGAAGGTGACGCGTCCAACGCGTTTGACGGGAGTGCTGTGTTTAAATATGGCGCTACTTGTTGGCACGGTCTCGATAGCTCAGTGGTAGAGCATGCGATTGCAGTACTGCAATTCATCGCAGGGTCCGGTGTTCGAACCACCGTCGTGACTATTTTTTCTTCTGGGGGCAATAAATTGTACGACGATTTCGCAGCTTAAGTGGGCATGATGCATTAGTATCCCAAAGAAACCTGTGTTAGCAGAAGGAGGAAGAGAAGGAGGAGAACTTGACGCGCGCGGCGCCGCCAGATCGACCGTCCAGAAAATCCCTCCTCGAATAATGCAAACTTCGAGACTTGTAGGTATCCGTGGAGTGGTCACAAGCGTATTGTGCTAATTATGCAGCTGGTAGTATGTGGGACCTGTATGAACTTGAAAGGGAACTGTACTTTGACGACAATTAAAAATGAACTTGGCTGCCTGCATAGACAACGCCAAAAAGTCCCGACGGTGGTTCGAACACCGGACCCTGCGATAAATTGCAGTACTGCAATCGCATGCTCTACCACTGAGCTATCGAGACATGGATGTTACAATTGAGAGTGCATTATATTTATATTGACGACCACTATATACGGACGATGGTCCTTTACAAGTGCATCTCTTTCCACAACCACCAGCAGCTATCAGCGCTTCCCACCATTAGGCCACGCTCCTCCGTGTCCCTGACCTACAAAATGACCACGGATGACATGCGCGTATGTACGGCTGCCATTCGAATATTTGCGGCACAATCATTGACGTGCTTGATGCATGCGTTGCTACTAGCCGGAGACTGAGTCAAGCGACGAGGACTGGATTCGTGTGACGAGTAATGATGGCTTCACATTCATGGTCAAGCGCAAGATCGCGAACGTGAGTGGGACGATGCGGAACATGCTGGACACAGAAAGTGCGTCCATCACGATGATATCTATTATCAACGCGCCACTTAACGCGGCTATCCTCTTTAATTCCAGGCAACTACGCAGAGGCGGCCGAACGGACATGTCCTGTCATGCAGCGGTGAGTCTCCTTGCCACTCCTCTATCTTCTCTACCTCTCATCAATCCTGATGCCTGACTAGCGGGATCATCGTTGAGAAAATGCTGGAGTACATGGCCTTCAGGGCGCACTACGAAACCGTTGGGGCTAAGGAGGACATCCCCGTGCACGAGTTTATGGAGCGCCTTCCTCCCGAGATCGTACTCGAGCTGTAAGTTTCAATCATGCGATCGAGTACGCCTGCTGACGGTGTCTTGGTCCCAAGGCTCCTGGCGGCTGATTATCAGGAATGTTAGTGTCCCTTCCCAGTTTCACCATTTCGTGTGAGCTGATGGCTTTCCTTGCCCAGTGTAATACTGCAGACGCCACGCAGCAGGAGTGGCATATCTGGAGATTCAAACCCCTGCGAGAGGTTATTCCATTAGCTTTGACCTCACCATTTCTGTGGGGGATCGGATACTGACGATGAGAACCCGGCAGGCTCGATGTGCTAGATTATCCACCGCGCCACGATATCGCTGGCCCTTCACACACTTACCTTCACACCTCGTTTTTACAAGTGCTACATGTAACACTCTCACCATACCGCGACGTTTCCACTACCTGAGTGCTAAGGCAGACCGTGTAGATCTAGATAAATTCAATATTCAAGTTGAGCAAGCTTAAATCTTCGCTCTTCAGGGAACACGCACGTCGATCTTAGCAATAACACGTCTTTTGAACAAGTTCTAGAAAATTCAAACATCGCATTGGCATCCCTACAGCCGCCCGCAGCAGAATCACAGAGCGCGTGCAAAAGAGATGCGATTCCTTGCCAGTGTTTTTACATAAGCAACGGAAGATGAAAGGTTCTCCGAGCTGGTCTTCCAATCCAACCACAATAATCTGTATACCCTTCAAACTTCCTTAAGTTTCAACCTCTGCCCATGTCATTCTTAACACGGCTCATACGGAGCCTCAGGCCTGTGAGAGTTGCGGTGTCTATCAAGAGAAGATTATAAACTCATCTCGACTACCAAGAACCGGTTTGTAGGCCGAGACCTTGAAGGTATGCACAACAAGCTGTTGCGCTCCTCATCAGACGACGTTTACATTGTATTCAGCAAACCGGTTTTACGAGCATCCAAGCTCGTCAGACGGTAAAGTTCTAGGCGCTTGTGTGTCGGGAACAGCTCATGAACTCATTCCTCGCAGACCCACGGCGGACGAAACGAACGGTTCAGTACAGGGATCCCGAAGATGTTTGGAAATATATTGGCGGTGGGAAGAGACTAGCAAGTGCGTCAATCGCTTCTTTCTGCTTACTGAGCTGAATGATCCTTGTGTAGTACAATGGTCATCCTGGCTGTCACATACACGGCCCAATCCCCCAACCCTTGAAGTGTGTGCCGCAATACGACGTCCTGTTAGGCAGACTAAACTCAGCATTGCTCTTCCTGGCTCTTATAGGAACTTCAAGCCGATCTGGCAAGGCAACAGCGTGTCCTCGCCAACGTTGCCTTGATTGAAGCTCGCGATCGGGAAGAGCGCCTGCAAATGCTGCGTCTGGAGGCCACTCCAGCAAATTCAACATCCAACCATCGGTCAGAGCCGCTGACAGCCCTGGACGAAAACCAGTCGCCGCCTGAATCCAAAGAGCCCCAGCGGCAGAAGACCCAAGCTACCGCTGGAACCTCACCGACGTCCGACTCGTCAAGTCCGCTGCCCAAGATGCCTGGATCGGATACGAATGAGCCTGAGTCGTGGACGCCTCGTGCTAGGAGGAGAGGACAATAATCAGCTGATGAACTTGTGTTCTATCCCTGTGTTTTATCTCTTGTCAAGTGGGAGTTTGAGTATCGATTAATCCTTCAAATGGTATACTATTCCTTGAACTCTTATCAAATTTCATTCTTCTGCCACCACCACCACCCTCGTGGAAGTCGTTCATCAAATCTCTTTGTACGACGTCATAATGGAATCATCGCAGTTTGAGAGGATGGGATATCTGAGTTCGAGCACTCCGTGCAAAGACCACATATGGGCACTCTAAAGCGCGCTGGGATTATCACCGAAGTAGTTACCCCCTAGCGCCGCATTATAGTCCCACTCATATCCAATGGCAGCCGCGGCGCGCCCTAGGTTATACTTCTGCAGCAACTGCATGATCTCTGCCTCATCGTAGACGCCTTCTTCCAACAGGCTTTGCTTCGGCACGGGTGGGAGTGTGTCGAACACCGTCCTTGCGATCTCAACCTGCTCGAGATACGCGTCATGCGGGATGCGTGGGATGTACTTTTTCTCAAGCTCTATGACACGCTCGATTGAACCGTGCTCGCGAATGAACTTGAGCGCACGCGCGGGGCCCACATTCTTGATGCGCTGGGAGAAGTCGGTGCCGAGCAGAAGGACGAAGTCGACGAAAGACGCGCGGTCGAGCTGGAGTCTGGAGCGGACCTCGGCTCCCGAGACGACGGTCAATGGGACATTCCGGCTTGTGAGATTGCGCACGAGCGGGGCTTCGTATACTATGACATCCTAGATAGCAAAAATGATTTAGCATAAAAGTGGGTGTCAAGAAATGCTTCAAATGCCTACCGTATCCTCGCTGGCCACGTAGTCAGCCAAGCCATTCAATACCATCGACGACGCCAGTGCCTCTGCCTCGAATGGACCCTCTGCATCTAAACAAGGCACACCCATGGCCCTTAAAACCTCTTTACTCTCATCGTACGTCTGCCGCCTCGGGGGGTTCGTCCTCCTCTCGAAAGACGCCAACATAATATCGCTCGTGCGTGAAAGCTTCGCGAGGGCGGATTCCTCCATTTCAATCTCAGTGGAAGACGCATCGGGCTCAGTAGAAAGCGTATCCCAGATCCCCCCTTCCTCGAGCGTGAGCTGGTATTGCGCTTTTGTCATGACAATGTCGGCTTGGGTGTCAGGGTCAGCGCCCGACGTTATGGGGAGGGAGGGAGCCAGGGGCCCCATGAGAGAGTAGAGATTCGAGACGCTGTGGCGATAGTCAAGATATAGAGCGGACAGGTGAGCAAGGACATCGTCCTCTGGACGAACGGGCTCGAGAACAGGCACTGGCTGAAGAAAAGGCGCCGGTTCAGCAATGATCGAGGGCTGAGGTAGTTCGTCGACATGTACAGGCGAGACATGCGTGTAGACATCATCTCCGATGTCTAGTGACAGATACACCACATCTGCGAAGAGAGTTGGGTCCGGTTCTTCGAATGGATGCGTGGTTTCAACAACGGAGAAGTAGGGATCCAGTGCATAATAATGTGCATCGTGTGCCGCAGAAAACAGGCCAAGAGGGCCTTCTTCCAACGCCGACTCCAGAACCTCTTCCGCGATAAAATGGGACGCGAAGGTCTCATCATCAGCAGGGAGCCGCGGGCCTTGGGGAGCACTGAGTGTATATGGAGGTGTAGGGATAAGAGGAGCCTGGACTTGTTGTGAAATGGATTCCGGGGGTTTGCGCGCGACGGCTTCGTCCTCTAAAGACAGTTGCCGAAGAAGGCTCGCTGCACGTTCACGCGCCGTGCTGTCGAGCTTCCGGAACTTGTGCAAGGTGTCATATAGCTTCCGTAGACGCTGCGACCGATCGTGTTCCAGGGCACCCCGTGCGGAGGTCTTGCGCTGCATCTCCTTCCTCCTTTCCGCCTTGCCACCGTATGAGCACCTTGACAGCGACGAACATGCGAACTTCAACGAACCTCACGCGCCTTGGCCATATTCCTGTACTTCCCGTCAAAGACACACACGGCCGAAACCCCCGCGTCCCTCAACTCGTTGATGAGCTTATACCACCCCAGAACGTGCCGGTACCGGTGCGGCGCCTGCGCAAAGTGGAAACGCTGCGTTATGAGAGTACCATCGCTGTCGTCTGGCGGTCAGCCTGTGTGAAACGGGGAAAGAGGAGATAGGTAAAAGTTTGCATACATGACGACTTTCTTACCGGCTAGACCTCGGAGACGATCTGGAAGGTGTTTAATTACTTCGGGACTGTCGCGCAGTCAGTCTCTCTGGCAATAAAAAGGCTGAACGAGCCCTTACCAGGTCTTTTGTAGGAAGGGCGTCAGACCGAGTACGCCCATGGTCGTGTTATGACAAGATATAATGTCTCCGCGTGGTTACAT